GTTTCGCAAAGCGTCCATTCCAATACTGTTGTTTCATCTCCGACAGAGTCTTGTATTTGGTCTCACGCAGTCGCTTGAAAGCGCGAATTTCTCGAAAACCCGTTTTCCAACTACCAGACGTAAGATGAATGCTAGTCAAGAAGACATCCCGCGTCGTAGATTTGACACTGCGGAGAGAGGGTATGAGCTGTTCGCTGGTGACCGCGTATCCAATGAGTTCGAGCCGGATCAGGTGAGGAAAGCGAGACTTGGCGAGGAGAGAGAAGGTCTGGTAATCAACTGCGCAGCTGGAATCTGTCTTGCAGCCAATGAGCCGGAGGTCGGTGATGTTCCAACATATTGGGCGTGAGTTGAGGCGCTCATATTTCGGATCAAGTCTCATTGTCGAAGGCGCCCTGATGTTGTCCACAGGATGCGCATGGTCCACATCTACAAAGTTGAGTTTCTGAAAGCTTGGGTGATCCAGGTATGGCCATACTCCAGGTAGAGACAATCGTTCAGTCCCGGTGAGGTTGCGCATATTCAGGTGAACAATTTCCTTGTCGAAGCCAGTGTCCGACAATATCCGATGCAGCAATCGCATGTGTCCAGCGGAAATGTAGGTGCCAATTTCGCGGTTGGAGATGCGTTGGAAAAGACAACGAGCAAGATTTGTATGGGCGTAGCCGAACCCTATACTCATGATGAAAGGTTCTGAACGCGGTAACGGCTTATGAGCGCTACTTCTCGACCCGAAATGTATCTCCTCAAGTCCTTCCATAGTTTTGAATGAGGAGAAGATCTTCTCGAGAAGAACCGGGGCGTAGTTAGCCCAGAACAACTGCCGTACAGGTGTAATCTGAACTTCGTTAGCACACAGTGAATTTGAACAAGGCGACTAGCGGGAAGAGCGCACCCTCCCAGATCCGAGCCCGTCCTGGATGTACGACGTACCTTGTTCTGGATTTCCCGAAATTTGGCTGACTCCACGGTATAGCCGAGCCAGTGGTGTTTGTCTCGATCTCCTTTTTTGTACTCCCTTATGGCGTCCACTCCAGGGTCGATAAACTCAACGCATTGAATGCAGTCTCGCCAATGAATTATCGACGTGATCTCAAGAAGCGCTGTCAAGCCGTCTTTTGTCATCAGCACTCGAACGTGTCTGAGCCTGCGCCTCATACGTGGGCAAAGCAAATAGGCGGCGGCTGCGCGAAAGAAGCGACAGGTCCGACGTAACGCAAGTAGCTCGCGTACAGGCGAACTGGGTATGAACTTCACGATGTTTGTGATGAGCTCCATGGGAAGGTTATCGAGTGCTGGTTTAGGCGGAGGTGCAAGTACGCATGGCATCGCAGCACAGGCATCGGCCACGCCGTCGCCTACAGTCATTGTTGTAGGTACCGAAGTCATGAGAGCACACATCGTGGTGTCGTTGAGGTGTTGGAGTGGCTCGGGAGAGCGAATTGCCTAGTTCAGAACTTGGTGTAAGGCTATTCCCGACAGTGAATGAACAACCGTTGCCCTCACTTGGCTAAAGAGCTCCACGCACATGCGGTGGCGCTTTTCTCTCTTGAGAACTCGGTGGTCCGCCTCTTCCGCTCTTGAACAGGTTTGCGGGTCTATCAATGATCGACAGATCAGCTTGGAAGCACCTGCCGAACCTGAGATCCATCCCAAATGGTCGAGCCCCATGTTGACGTACTCATAGGCTCAATAGGCGGAAGTGCGCCCCGCGGTGACCTAAATTCCCGACTACACCTGCTAAATGTTGGACTAGGCGATGGGATGATCGGCGTCCTGAACATGGCAGGAGTCCACTCTGGTGTGCCGTCTCCGACCAAGCGCCTTCCGGGACCTGGGCTGGGCTGCTCTCTGCTCTTTATCTTGACCATCGCTCTACGGAAGAGTGGTCGCAGAAATGGTACGGAGGCTGAGATGAGGCCGACGTGCTGTTCCACTTGACTCCACATCAAAAGATCTGCTGTAGTCAGCCCTTGCTGCACATAGTCGTGCACCCAGAAAATCGTAGTGTAAAGCCGAAGGGCGGAAGCTATTACGGCCATGATACCGACGGAAAAGATAGCTATCAGCTCAAGACGGCGTCTAAGCGGCATTGTCGAAAGATTCCAAAAGAACAATATCGGTAACGTCCAGATGATCACATCCGTGACGAGGTTATAGATGGCATTGAAGATCCAGAATGGATTTGGGTTGTAACAATGAGCGTCGAAGATGTGTAGGACCCATGCTCGATACCAAACATCCCATGCGAACGCGTCGGTGATCGGAATGCACATGAGAATGGAGGCGATGATCATGGATACTCCGCCAGAGACTGTGATGGCAAGGAGTACACGGACAACGTATTGGAAGCGTTTGTTCGATGCGGCGATAGAATTGTAAACTAAGTCGATCCTGTTAGCCGAGTAGATCCTTCAAAAATGAGCGTTCCGAGGAAGAATGAAAGCACATGGGCGAACGGATAGCCGTTCGACGCGCAATGGCCGCCACTTGTGTAGTACTCGAAGCTCTCCGCGTTCATCCCTGGGATTGTGTGGCATAGAACGTACATAGCAATATCGACGTCTTGATGAGACAAAGATTGAGGATGAAGTTGACTCGGTATAGCCATATCGACAGTAGCGAGCCGGTGATTACGGGTCTCCCGGTTTCTGGCTTGTTTTTCTATGCTATGTTAGACCACAGTCATTCAACAGCTGGTAGCTACTTACATCAACCTGGCTATAATCGAGGAAATGGATCATGAAGCAATGTACCACCACTGATGGCCTAGATGTAGGAACGAATGAGTCAGTTCAGCTTCTCTGGGTTCCGCGGAGACGTCCATACCAAGTTGCGATCTGTTTCTGGTTAGCAATAGCAGCACAGGGGGTGAGCATACACTCACAAGGGCCAGAAGCATGACCCAGTCGGACGACGTGAGCTTTCCAACATAGAAATATCGGGTGTAGAATCTGAACTGTTAACCAACGTTGCGATCAGGGTTGCGAACGGCTGACGCACCTGAGGGCTACAACCACGGTCGACATGGAGGTAAGCACAAAAGCCAAGATGATAGAAAGTCGGCCATGAGGGGCCATCGAGAACGTTTCTGGAGCTGAACAATGAATCCGTCCACATGAACAGAATAGGATGCTGACAGGAAAAAGAAACCGTGGAGGCGATACTCATGATGATGTGTAGGGGTGCCGCAGCCACTGACTATCAAACATCAACGGCAATATCCACAATGCCAATCGCGCGAAAGACGGCGTTCTCTAACGCAATCATGCATCGGCGGGAGGCCCACATCAGGATCCGAGTCAGGTTCAGACTGTCCAGATTTGGGCGGGTGATGAGTCGCGTCGCCCAGGTTGACCAAACGGTGTGGCGGGGAAGTGCCGGCAGACAATGTTAGACCAAGGGTTATGCAACACCAACCGATGTGAGCAGTGCTGCATAGCTGTCAAATTGTCCCTGCTTCCCCGCACCGTACCACGCGACACTCATCTCAGCAGCAGTTTACGCGCCAGGTGTTTGGCAGGGTACGGATAAATCTGCAGAATGAAGCTTGGGCCGTCGCCGCCTCAGACAACCCGCCAACTCAATTGATCCTGCCTCAACTGGCCCCAACATGATAGCAGCCCAGATATTGATCTCAGCTCTTTTGATGTTCTGTGCACTCTTACCGCTTTTATATCGATTTATCCCCTGCCCTGAATTGACGTAATTCGACCGATGTGTAGATGGCGAGTTTGCACTCAGCGCGTTACATTGTATATGTTGCTAGGCGTGCCATGTTCGTGACTTGGGGTTGAAACGGGTGTCCACTGTATATTTACCGGCTACTTCGGTAGTCTGAAGAGAACGCATGCCTTAGCGACCTACCGTAGGCTTCAGCGATTGCCATGTGAGACCGAGCCCATAGAGACTTTCATGTGTGAGGAGGAGAGAAAATACCAAGGAAACCGTTCACCGTGTCACCAGGGATCAATCAGAGTCAGCTTGGAATGTTGAGGCCCGGGGTTTGGGCGCAGAATCCAGCGTGCGCAGGCGAAATAAGAGTGGCTTTCTTCGATAAGACACCGGTGCCATGACTTGCATAGGGCTGAAAGCCGTCCGCATGAACGTGAATCGTGAAAGGTCCGAATATGATATATATGGAAGGAGATCGCGAGTAATACCGCAAGGAGAAAGTTTAGGACCTGAATCTGCTGCGAATGCGTTCTGGAAGCAAGGCGTTACGATGAGTTGAGCGAGTCAGCTGGATCGTGGGCGGTTAGGTGGAGATTGACAGGATCGATCTTGCCGTCTCTTGGGCTGTGGCTTCCATTCCCGCTGTGATGGAATAGTAATCCGGAAAACCGGGCGCCCAGAGCACCGTTGACAGAACCGCAATAGACGACCATTGAAGGATCGCGATTAGTTCACAATTTTGAGTGAGACGGCACGGTGTTATGCACACGGCTTGTATGAAGCGAAAGGATGAAGACTGGCCCAGTGACGTCGATAACTACGAGGTCGACGCCATTAGTGATATTAGAGAACGATCCTGAATCGATGAAATGAGTTTGTCGGTTATAGTACCACAGGCTTCAGAGAGGGTGTTCTTGAGGTGCGTTGTCAGATGGGTTGTGAGGTTGCTAGAGTAGGAGCGACGCGATGCCGCGGAAGCTGCCCGCGAACTAGCGCGTTTAGTGATATCATCGCCTCGAGTGAAAGTGCAGGTGTCAACCACAGTCGCGCCTGTCGCCTACGACGTTTTCACCTCGACGCTGGTTGTCACAGCTCAGCGCGAACTGTCTGCTGACCCGTGATGGCTCACTCACGTCTCTAGTGCTGGTTTTTTCCGCTTCACGTTTCTCGACCTGCCGCTGTTGCCTTCGGCGCAACTTCTCACGAATTCTCCTACCCACGAGTAATCCGACGCACACCACGCACGGCGGTTCAAATTCCGCTCGAGACTCACGGTGGGAATAGAACCGCTTTCGAAGCCCTCTTAGACTGCGAAAACTGCCGTCATGTCGTCGCCCTCCGAGAACGCTGCGCTCGCCACCGCGCCTGAGATCACCGTCACCAATCCAGACAACTCCATTGATGCAACCATGCATGATGGTGGAGAGGAATTAGCAGAGGAAATACCGTCAGATGCCGACGAGGAGGCACGGCTAAAGATGCTCACGACTGGCACACGAGCGCAGGATGACTTGGAACGCGATATTGGCAGGCAGGCGGACCAGATGATGACCGAGCAGGCCGATGCACGCGACAAGAAGCGCATAGAGAAGCTCGAGGGTGAAGCAAAGCGGGCGGAAGCTGCTATACAAAAGCTCAAGAACCGTCTGGCTCTACCAGCTCTGGACACGCAGAAGGCCAAGCTCCGCGGCGAGATCGCAGCGTATCGGGACAAAATCGATGGCCTAGACCAGGAGATGGATGGTATACAACAGCGTATCAACGATCGTCACAAGGCGCCTGGGGCGGACGAAGCAGCAGAGGAAGGCTCCAAGGGTCCTTTACCCAACGAGAGCCGGCGAGAGTGGCTCATCCGCACAGGCAAGATCACGCCTTTCTCCAAGCTGGCGCAGGACCAGCCAGACTCAGGGACGCTGGGTGAGGTCATGTTAGATGCTGAGGCGGAGGACATGGTGACCGAAACTGCGAAAGAGCCAGTATCACATCGCAACCTTATGAAGCCTGGCTTCCAAGACGTCGAATCCAGTTCAGAGGCTCCGAGCCCGAAGCCTACAGCCCGTTCGAAGAAGCGACGAAAGGTCACTCCTGCTAGCGATACTGTAGGGTCGCGCGAATCGAGTGCGGCCCCGGGCTTTACCGATCCTGATTCAGACGATGCTTTCGAGCCTGGTATGTCAGACCGCCAGCTTGCGACCCTGGATGAGTCGGACGAGCTTCCAGATGACTTGGACGAAGACGATTCATACGCAGAAGAGACTACTGATCGCAAGCGCAAAGCTAAGGGCAAGAAAACACAAAAGTCAAAGGCTGCTCCCGCGCAAGAAGCTGTCGTCGAAGATCTAGCAGGTGTTGACGATGGCAATGAGCGATTGTATCGGAAACGTATAGAGACTTGGTCCAAGAGCCGCGCAGCTGCTAGGAGAAAGGCCAAGGCCAATGGTGGTGAGGCAACCGCCGATGAGGAGGATGAAGAAGAGTGCTACCAGCCTCATCCTACTGAAGCTGACACTGAATTCGATGGCGGATTCCGCATCCCTGGAGACATCTATCCGGCATTGTTCGATTATCAAAAGACCGGTGTGCAGTGGCTTTGGGAGCTGTACTCGCAGAATGTTGGTGGCATCATCGGCGATGAGATGGGTTTGGGTAAAACCATTCAGGCTATCGGCTTCGTCGCCGGCCTTCATTACTCCAAGAAACTTACCAAGCCTGTCATCGTAGTCTGTCCCGCAACGGTCATGAAGCAATGGGTTAACGAATTTCATCGCTGGTGGCCTGCGCTACGAGTTTCCATCCTACACACTTCTGGTAGCGGAATGTTGGACACACATCGAGAAGATCGTATGGAGCGGGAACTTGAGCTTCGAAACTATGGCGACTACGACAATACTTTGACTGGCGCTGGAAAGGCTGCTAAGAAGATCCTCGAGAAGGTCAAGCGAGACGGCCATGTCCTCGTCACCACGTATTCAGGATTACAGACCTACTCTGAGTTCTTGATTCCTACTGACTGGGAGTGCGCCATCCTAGACGAGGGCCACAAGATTAGGAACCCGAACACTGCTATCACGATCCACTGCAAGGAGTTGCGGACGCCCAATCGTATCATTCTCTCTGGCACGCCGATGCAAAACAACCTAACAGAGCTTTGGTCGCTCTTTGACTTTGTATTCCCGATGCGCTTAGGCACACTGGTGAACTTCCGCAACCAGTTCGAATTTCCGATCAAGCGTGGTGGCTACGCAAACGCTTCGAACTTGGAGTTTGAGACAGCGGTACAGTGTGCTGAGACCCTCAAGGATGCGATCAGCCCCTACCTACTGCAGCGGTTCAAGGTCGATGTTGCAACCGATTTGCCACAGAAGAAGGAGCAGGTGCTCTTCTGTAAGCTCACGCGCCAGCAGCGACAAGCATATGAGGGTTTCCTGGCGTCGGAAGACATGAAGTCAATTGCGAGCGGCAAGCGCCAGATGCTGTACGGTGTCGACTTCTTGCGCAAAATTTGCAATCATCCCGATCTGACGGAACATAAGACCCTATCGAAGAAGCTGGGATTCGACTATGGCAACCCCAATAAATCTGGCAAGATGCAGGTTGTCAAGGAGCTACTGTCGTTGTGGAAGAAGGGCGGACACAAGACCCTTCTCTTCGCTCAGCATCGTATCATGTTGGACATCCTGCAGAAGTTCGTCAGTCAGTTACCCGACATCAACTGGCGTCGCATGGACGGCGAGACACCGATCAAGGACCGCCAGAACCTTGTTGACGAATTCAACAACGACCCAAATCTACACGTCTTCCTCCTCACAACAAAGGTCGGTGGTCTTGGCGTCAATCTCACAGGTGCCAATCGCGTCATCATCTACGACCCGGACTGGAATCCTTCGACCGACATACAGGCGCGAGAGCGTTCATGGCGTCTGGGACAGAAGCGAGAGGTTGAAATATACCGGCTGATGTCTGCAGGCACAATCGAAGAGAAGATCTACCATCGTCAGATCTTCAAGCAATTCTTGACGAACAAGGTGTTGAAAGATCCTAAGCAGCGACAGTCATTCCAGATGAGCGATCTGCATGACTTGTTCACGCTCGGTGTTGAGAACGTTGAGGGTGAAACCGAGACAGGCAACCTATTCCGCGGTTCAGAGGTCAAGTTCGAAGAGGATGGTAAGACTGCAGAGGCATCGGCAGATGCTACAGGAGCCGAAGACCTCGCCGCAGTGAGAGGCATCTCGCGATCCGAAGCCTTCCAAGCCCCCGTCTCCGACGGCGAGGATGCTGCTGCTACCACTAACGAAGACGGCACCGACAAACCCCCAACAGATTCCCGTCTGATGTCAACCATTTTCGCCAAAACAGGTGTTCACTCCGTCCTTGAACACGACGCAATCATGAACTCTACAGCGGGTGGCCGAAAACGTAAAGTACAAGCCGACCCAGCCTACATCCAACGCGAAGCCAAGCGACAAGCCGCCGTAGCAGCCGAGCAACTCAAGAAGAGCATGCAAGAAGCGCGAAACGTGCCCGCTGGTACACCAACATGGACCGGCCAATTCGGCGAGGCAGGCCGTCCAGACGCACCCCGCGGTATGTCGTCCAGTCGTGGCGGCAGAGGTGGGCGAGGCGGAGGACGCGGCGGCGCCCCTTCATCAACATCCATCCTCAACAACCTCGCCACCCGACAAGGCCGTCCTACGCTCCTCAACCCCGGCACAACCCTCAACACACCCACATCCGCCAGCTCATCCCGCGGCTCCACGCCTTCCGCTCCCACAACACCGCAAACATTCCGCGGCCGCCGCATGCTAGAAATGATTCGCGACTTTATGCTTACCCACGGTGGCGTGGTGCCTAGTCGTATGTTAGTTGATCATTTCGATCATTACTGCCGTGCGCAACCGGGAAGGAACGAAGAGTTTAAAGAGATGCTCAAGTTGATTGCTACGCTTGAGAAGAGTGGGAGCGCGCAGAGGGGGAGGTGGGTGCTTAAAGATGAGTGGAGGACGCCTGCTGCGGGAGCGGCGGGTAGGGGAGGTAGAGGGAGGTAGATCAGAGATGGGGTAACAGACGAGGAGAAGGAGAGTGGATGATTGAACGGTGGGAGAGGCTGAGTTTAGCATGGCATTTTACGGCGTTTGATATAGGGAGATACCATTTGTAGCTTTTTCTGTTTTAGCGCCTTCTTGCCAAGTGCTGGCATATCGTAGATGGGGAAGATCGTACCTTGAGTTGGATAGGTATAATGTCAAAACACACTTTGAAGCACACGTACGCATATCATGCCTGAATGAAGTAGGTGGCCTCGAGTCTTAACTCCCATCATCATCATATGATGAGAGATCTGAGGCATCATTCGTGGCGATTATATTGCGGGAACCGTGAGCGGCTCGTCCTACATGGGTCATCATGCGAATCATCGCGCAGCACTCTGGCAGAGGGGATGAAGTAAGTGGGGATGTCATTGAATACTATCTAGCGTTACTGAGAGAGTATTCAATCCGGGCTGGGATGAAGCAGTAGTAGTCTGGGAAAAGGAGTGAACCTTGCGTGTGCGGCGGGCTTTGATAGATGAGGAGATCGGCCGTTATCATGCGTGAATGAGATCACGTCGACATCATAAAGCGGATCCTAGTACATGGAAGGAAGAAATGACTGAACCGAGACTCCTCCATGGTTCAACACTGAGACATTTCCATCCATTCTGATGCCGCGCATGATCTTATGCCGACGCTCTTTTCGCTCCTAAGCCATGGATAGCTTCGCTCCCTGCGCCTGACACAGTACTTTCCAGCCCTCATGGCGGTAGCCACGGTGTGCGAAAGGAGGCATAACCATACAAGGTCGTCGCATATTTAAGGGGACTCTCTTGCATTTGATTGATGAAGGGAATAATGTGTTTGGTTGGTTTTTTTTTTAAAGTAGTTTGGTTTTCGTCTGGGGGTTTTTTTTTTAGTTATTTCGTTATTTCAGTGATGCCGTAGGCAGTCTTGGAGATTGCGCTCAACGTGAATGCTTCTTGACGTGTTTCTGTAGATTGTCGAACCGCGTGTAAGATTTTTGACAGCCTGGAACTTGGCAGGGAAAGCGTTCTTGTGCTGCGGGTGCTTGATGTGTCTTAGCGTGGCGGGTCAGATCGGCTCGAAGGTGGAAAGATCTAGGGCAGTCGATAAAGTCGCACTTGTGACGCTGTTGGTGCTTTCGTTTGACGTGGTCGCTGCAGCACGAGTTAGTCATTGTAACATACGAGCGCCTGGATGTACGTACTTGAGGTCACAGTTCCTACTGAAGACCTTTTCATAGAAGCTGCAGGACGGTTCGCGCGCCTGGTATGTGCTGTTGTCTGTTGTGTTGTCTTCGGGGCGTGTTGGCTGTTTTGGCGGTGGCGAGATCGATGGTCGACTATGATTGAGACTGCTTCCTGAGGTTTCGGGGGTGTTTGAAAGCGACTGTTCGCTTGGTACAGAAGAATCGTTGTCGTTGTTGTTGTTATTGTCGATAGGATCCGGGGCTAACAATTCGTTGTCCGAGGTCGAGTTGCTGGTAAGATACGGGGCGTGTATGACTGGATTAACATCCAGTTCAAAAGCAAACGGGCTGAAAACAGATGTTGAAACGTCGCGAGAGAGTCCAAATCTCGATAGTGACGAAGTACAACGTGGCGGGTGAGAAATAAAAAATAGAAAAGGCGAAGACTACAGCGGCCTTCGCCGAAGGCTGGCGATTGTGTAGTAGGCTATGAAAGCCTAGGGGTGCGCAGCCCAGGCGCCTTGCAGCGTGGAAGAAAGATTTGGTGAAGCAGAGGTTGGAGGTGGTGTAGGTTTTGGTTGAAGGATTGGTACTGTGGGGAAGATCCTTGAAAGAAGTGGGTGTCAATGGTAGAGATGAAAGAAGTGGGAGTATACGCCGACAAAAGCTTACCTTATATGCAGCCCTGGAGGAGCTGCTCGTGGAGGCATAGAACCCACAAGGCTGAGTCTCAGCCACAACGCCCACCGCCAGCACGCAGGCCTACAGCGAATGACCGTTTCCCTTCATATCTCGCTAGGCGCATGCTTTTCAGCCAATATGGTGTGTCTGGAGGTATGTATGCCTCCATATCGCGGTGGGTGGAAGCCACAGATGCAGCCGCACCAAGAAGCTGACCGCATGCACATGGCGCGCTTGTCCATACTGGGACCAGCTCAGCCGTCCTTCGCTTTTCTGCCACCATTACGCATCGCCGTCGTCCATCAAATCAGAGGACGTTTCCGCTTGGAGGCATAGCGCTTCCAAATCAGAGAAAGTTCAAGGAGTTGGGTATCCAACATTGCGTCGCTACCTACCTACACCACCACCTACAACTTCCCCCGACTCTTCGCCATCTCCTCCTGTAAAATCATGCCAACAGGCCCACCGCGACTTCCATCACCAGCCCATTGCTCCTCTGGTATACGCTCCGCCGGCCACTCCCAGCGGCCCTTGAAGTCCTCCGGTGTTCTCCCCTCTATGCACTCCACAATGCTATCACCAATGACAGGCAAAAACTTGAAGCCATGTCCTGAACCACCCGTCGCTACAAACAGCCCCTTGTATTTCGGATGATACGAGATCAAGAAATCGCCATCCCTTGTATCAGTGTACCAGCAGATCTTCGATTTTGTAAATGGGCGCGAGGGAATGGCGAGAGAGGGGTGGATTGCGGTGAGGAAGTCTCGGCATTGGCGCTGGCCTTCTATAGGGACGGCTTGTGATGGGTCGTCGATGTGTGTGTAGGGAAGCGAGGTTACGATTGTCTCGTTCGGGTCTTCGGACTCGGGGTGTGGGATTGTAGTTGGGTTGAGGTAGCCGTGGCCGTGGCGCGCTACTTTGAGCAGCCCTTTATGAGGCGGTATCATGAAGAGGCCGTGGGAGAGATTGAGGATAGTCGGTCGCGGAGCCATCTTCGTTTCCTCCTCTTTGGAGATGGGCATGTAGCATAGAGCTTGCCCGGTGGCTTTGCAGATGCCTCGAAGATCGATGAGCGATGCCGTCCATGCGCCTGCCGCGAGCATTGTCAGGTCCGCCTTCAGCTCGGTCGAATCGTCGAGCCGCACACCGGAGACAGTGTTGGTTTTGTGATCGATCAACAGCTTCTTCACGCCCTTTGTGACAAACTTCACCCTTCCCAGCTTCTCCACCTTTTCCCTGAGCCACATCATCGCGCCCTCCGCGTCTGCCCAACCTGAACTCCAGTTCACGTATCCGGTGCAGCCGTTACCCCAGGGGTCTTTGCCTTCCAGACCACATGCTTTCTGTATTTCTTCCGCCGAGTTGAGCACTTCTACCTTGTCGGTCCCTATCGCGCGAACGTTTTCCAGCGAGCTGGAGACGTAGTTCTGCTCTGGGCCCCATGCGGTTACACATAACCCGACCTCATGGTAGTGTTCGGTCGCGAAGTCGGTACGCCAGCGATTTTGTGCGACGGTCGCAAGACGGGTATAGCGCGCGGCAGCGTAGTCGGGACGGATAATTCGTGAGGCGTCGATCTGTATGCGTTGGTTTGAGCGTTTGGTCTTGAATGAAGCGGTTGTTCCGATCACTAGGGAGTTTAATGCTCTAGGGTATGGCGTCGAGAAAATTTAGATTGAATTGCTCTACTTACACTCGAGCCATCAGGCGTAGGGAAGGGCTGACGGTCTACAACAGTAATCGAGGTATCCTTGTACTGCGGGTTTTGACATAACGAATAAGCTGTGGAAAGTCCAAATGCACCGCTGCCGACGATTAGGATGGATGAGGGTCTCTCAAGAGATGCAGAAGTAGCCATTGCGCGTGAAATTAAGACGTTCAAGGATTAAGCAACTGAGCAAAAGAAAGGAAAGTGATGGAGAAAAGTCCACCTACCTGCGTCCGAACGGCGTGCAAGTGCCGCTGGTGGGCCGATATCGTTGACTGACTGATGATTTGAAAGGGCGTGCGGCGGCTGGGCACGGTTGAACCTCGTGGCTGCAGGGAGCTTTGACGCTACCGAGAGATTGGGTCATCGGTGCATGGAAAGATTTGAGGCTTCAATTCGACATCGACAGCCTCACCAATCGCACCTCAACGTCATCCGCTACTAAGTTATTCTGGGTTTGCCTGTATCGCAATGGCAAAGTTACCGAAGCCCCCAAAGGCGTTCCCCGTAAAGCACACGATACCGTCGAAGCCCGCGATACCACAACACATACGAATACAACGAGCGCAACACGATAACGAAGTACCGCTATATGCTCCAAGGAACCAAACACTCGAACAAGCACTGAAGAGAGTGCTGGCAGCACGTCCGCGGCTCTCAGATCTACAGCGGCTTTCAGATGAGGAACTGAAGTCGGCGCAACACCAGGCAAAACTGCGGAGAGCGAGACAATGGCCAATGTTCGGTATCGGATTGATCGCATTTGGGTTGGGGACATACGGAACCATGCTCTACGCTTCGTTGACGCAGGAAACGGACCTGGGAAACTTACCTGAAGACCTGTCCGATCGATTCGACAAAGAGGCCGAGGGCTATGACGAGAAAGTGGACACGTCTGAGATGCTGCTCTTATTGACTTCTAAGCGCAAGAAGCTCACTGCCATGGCCAGGGGACATGTGCTAGAGGTGGCCGTTGGCACGGGCAGGAACATACCATACTACAAGACCAAGCAATGTGCGACAGTGACGCTGCTCGATTCCAGCGGGCCCATGCTGGCTGTTGCAAGGCGGAAGTGGAACGACACGCACAAAGAGTACTTTAGCCGTGTCTTCTTCAAGCAGCAATCTGCCTTAGATCCGATTACGCCGCCATTTGATGCCCAAGTTGGCTACGATACGGTGATACAGACAATGGGACTCTGCTCCACACCTGAGCCGGTGAAGCTGCTCCAGAATCTCGAGTCTTGCACCAACGAGAATGGACAGATCTTACTTCTAGAGCACGGCAAGTCGCATTACGACTGGCTCAACAACATCCTGGACAAGTCAGCTCCAGCCCATGCAGATGAACATGGTTGCTGGTGGAACAAAGACATCGGCAAGATTGTCGAAGAGAGCGGGCTGGAAGTTGTC